CTTCAAACTATCGCCAGTCATGAAAAGATCCGGTCAAATGACACGAGTTTAGATCTATGAACAAGGCACGAAAAGGAAAAGAATCGGCGACAGGCCACATCAGGCCTACACTTCAGCGTCGACATCACTATGTTATGTTATGATATGACGTATATAATTTCTTCCCAAGTCAATACGGTTGCTGCAATTTAACAAAGCTTCTCCTAACAAACCCGATCGTGTTGATGTCATTCGAGGTCAGACTCGATTGAGTCAAGCTTGGCAATTTTAAGAGTTTTACTTCAAATTTAAACCCTGTTCAACTTTTCTATGCTGTGTGCGCTAGAGGTCAATAGTTGAAACAAACAATTCCGCGAAATCATTATTTTCGGCTAAGGTTTGCTCCAAATTCTGAGAGAAGATTTTGCAGCAGACGTTATCAATTATTGAGCTTCGTTTTTCACTATTTTTCACTGAATATAGCGCAAGCCCTAGCATTACGCTACCCTCACGGAACCCCCTCAAATGACATGTCTTGGGGAGGGGAGAGACGTCCAATTGTTCCTAAAGAATTATACAAGCTCTGTATTTTCACCTATCTGTTTTATTTCCATTCCAGTTGGCCACCAATCACACACAACATTGAAATAAATTTGTAGTTTTGGATTTTTCGATAAAACTAAAGAAGGCTTTCATAGACATTGATGTGATGGTGAAGAATTTTTTCAATGTACTTTTTAATGCTGTCCGGCATTGATTAAATAATCATAATTTCTTGCACGTTAGTTGTGCTTCAATTCAGACGATCGCTGCACAAGCAGGCAATCAGGCGCTAATTCCGTAAATTTTACGTGTCTTAAATCAGTCTGTGAAAAGCATACAGCCATTGATCATTTCATCCCTGGTATGCTTTCTACAATATTAGAAGACAAAACTTGCTTTACTGGTAGTGGTTATGGTCCATGTCAGCATTATTATCAAAAGGAATTATTTTACGTTCAAACCTCCCTTATTATCCAAGGACTTCGTCTATCAGGGTTGCCAGAGGGCCTAAAAAACGGCCTATCCGCGAAGAAAAAAGGCCTATAACTCAATATATACCTACCAGCATATTTGTATAGGTTAGGGTGTAAAAATTGCATTTCTTTTTTCTACCGTTTTTGTAAATTTAATTAGGAAGTGCCATTATCATAAATTTTATCTGGCAAACGCAATTGCAAAAAACTAAACCGCGGAATTTGTCCGGAAATAAAGACCGTCGGGCAACCCTACTGCCAATTCATTATTTTACATTACACTAATATTGCGGCTGAATCAAGAGCGCTAGTACTAAGAGGTATAGCATAAATGTCTAATCCATAGGGTATGGAGCTAGCAGAAGACTTGCAAAGAAAAATAACAATTCCCTTTTTCAATTGAACACCAAGAACTACCGTTCGCAGCGGTAACTTTCTCGCACGGAAGTCGGTTCGAACGCCGATGAAGATAGTTCAACCAATTCGTCATACGTTGCATAGCGTTAGGAATGAATTCTTGAAGGCCGGCCAATGTTAATTCAACACTGAATCAGGCCCTGTTAAGCCGAAGTCAGCAAGATACTCTGAAGCTATCAATTAATTAGGATTTGCAAAATCGCTACGATGAAACACCGAATTCACTCCCAGAACCTGTACATTCTTGAGCGTCCATTTTAGGCGTTGTGTCCTAATCACCAAGAGAACGAGTACTGTAGACGAGCTCACGGTACCATCTCAAATCTGAATAAACATTATCGAAGATCAATTTTTTAGCACAAGTTCATTTCTATGCAATTCAAATGAATTCTGCACGAAAACCATCAATCAATTAAGAACGTAATCACTTGAATTCACCCGGCATTCCAACACTGCGAGGTTACACACCATATTTTAAATTCAAACCTCCCTTACTATTCCTGGACTTTGCCAATCAGGGTTGCCAGAAGGCCTAAAAAACGGCCTATCCGCGAACAAAAAAGGCCTATTACTCAATATATACCCACTAGTATATTTGTAGGTTCGGGTGTAAAAATTGTATTTCTTTTTTTTGCCGTTTTTGTAAATTCGATTCGGAAGTGCCCCATAATTCACAGCTTTAATTAACATGCTGCACAGGTTTGGTCAAATCCTGCGTTCCGCGTTCGGAGTTTCACGATAGCGAGATAATTTTCGGAGCAAGAACTTCACTCCTGTCGGCGACGCGGGGCGTGCATCATAATAACAAGCGGTTGGTTCCTTGCCTGAACTATAAACTATGCACCGACTATACGCGAGGGATAGAAAAAAGAAGTGCTGACTGTTCAACTTTCATCAGTTTAATAAAAAATAGCATGTACACGATTATTAAGTATCATGTCAACAAAATTCCTAAAAATCAAGGAAAATTCAAACTTCACCGACTCAATGGATCAACTATTTATAAATTATCCCCCTAGTGCACACTACTCGTGATTATAAGAATTATTTTGGTTACGGCTGGCATTGCTCCACTGACGAGTTAATAGCCAACGCTAACTGGAGCCAAATGCAGCTCCATTCGCTGATTGTCTTAGGAACACTGGGGCCGTTATAGTTACTGTTCGTTACTGTTCGACAATGTTTCCTGTTATAGTTACTGTTCGGTCTTCATTTTAGCAACGTCGAAGATTAAAAATAAATCGAGTTTTGAATGAATCTAGTCTTTACAGATCGCGCCTAACGGCATAGAGTTACCAATTTAGCCAAACTAGTCTCGTATACAAGGCCTAATGAGGCAAATGAATGTTAATGCTTATAGTATGTCCATACGTTATTGGTCTAATGACATCTTTAGCGTCACGCTCTACACTCCGCAGCACTCCTATCGTAAAACAGTAAATTGCAACAAGCAGTTGAAACGTCCAAGAATATAACTTAAAACTCGTTTGGTTTAAAATTCAAGTAAAACATTTTAAATAACTTCCGTCAAATGACCGCGTTCAATTTAAAATTAAATTCAAATTCTTAAGGCTTGACTTGCGCCGGCCAAAAGGCTATTTTGATGTAGTTATCACCGGTACAGCCTTTAAATTGAACGTCGCTCGCATGCGAGCAGAACTCTTTCTTATAAGCATACCTAGTCACGAGGACCTTGTCAATAGAGACCGTGTAGGACTTGTTTGCGTACATGAAGACTGGCGTGATGAAGCGCCACAGGACACCCAGTGGCTTCGCTATCCCAACTTGCCGTCCATCCGCATCCGTGAGGATCATCTGCGCGTCCTTCAGAGTCGAGCCATCTTGCGTGTGCAGCTGGTGGAGGAGGATGGGCGAGGATACGGTGAAGTTCTTCAGGAGTATCATTTCTGTTACAGTACCAGGCTGAGACTTCCTGCCCTCACTCATGCGAGTCAGCACGCAGTACCGCAGCGTCTCAGGGGTGATGTCAATGCGGCTGTGCAGGACCTTGCTGCAGCGCACGCTTGACGGCAGACTAGAAGAAACGCCTCTCAGGTTCATCAGGATGCTCGTGCATTCTTGCGGCGAGAAAACTTGCGTCGGGACCACACGGTCTATGAACGTGTCGGAAGGAATGGACAGCAGCCTCAAGTGGGGCAAAAAGCGCTCGATTTTACCACGGATGTTCGAAGGAGACGTTTCACTGCCTTCGTATTCCAGTTGATGCGAGGCCCTGAGCAACGGGAGATAATTACAATATACCTAATTAATTACGAATTCCAAATGTATTACAGTTTAGCAAGGACCAACAGAGACGTTAGTATCCGAGTACAAATAAAGCTTTAATTATCTATGACCCTGTTAAACACAGTTTTAGTACAAATGTGCGTACGAGGTAGGGAAGCTAAAATTAACTCTACGTTAATCATAATTTCCCACTGAATGCAATTGGTGACCATAACGAATTCGAATGTGCAACGATTGCATTATTTTTTTGGGCCGTTACAGAATAATGCGTGATATTTTAATACACCAAGGTCTCTGCAAGATATAATTAACGAGCTTACCACTTTACGAGTCCTTCGAAGAGCTTTACTTCAGGCATGGGAAGAACAGGGCGCTGTAGGAGGTACAGCCAGAGCTCGTCCGTCATATCGGCGATGTGTTCGTCTATCATTTCTGACCACGAGCCGCTCACCTTCTGAAAGTCGAACAGAAGGCCTAACCTTCGATTCCATTCTTCACACCTAACCACGTCAAAGTTAACTCGCGGCAAACGCTTGCGATTTAAGCTTTAAGGTCAACTAGACGGATATTGAAGTCATCATGATTGCTTTGCTATGAAATGACGCAGTCAGAAAGCCTAAAGAATCTGTACAAAATTGATCTAGATTTTATATTCCATGCCATACAATTGATGGGACAATCAGAGGACTTACTTTCAGGCAGGCGTTCATCAAGACATCCTCCGAGTAGGTCTTTGCGACGCTAAAGACCTCCGATACATTTTCCAGCGAGACTTGGTACCTTAGATACTTGGGAAGAATTATGATTATTAGTTTTGATGTTCTGCAAACCTGGTAAACCAAACCAAGACTAGATCAGTCATGTGCCACGACAGAATAAAGTTTAGTTTGTATAGATCCAACTATTCAATGATAACTGGTATCCTACCTCAATGATAATAAACTGTCCCTAATAGGCAGCTAGCCAGAAAAATATACTAACATCTTTGCACATGGCGGCGATGCCATTGATCTGGTAAAGTTGAGCGACGTCGAACACCAAGATCGCTGTGACGACATTCTTTAGGTCGCTTGTGCCGAGGTAGAGGTTGTTCAAGATCCACTTGAAACCCTCCACGTTGCAGTGGAGCTTCACTCGTCCAGTTAAAGCTTCTTTGGTGTCCGTGTATAGCATGCGCTCGAAGACGAACGATGCAGACGCCAACACCAACTTGTGCGCCTACAAGCAGCAGCAGATCAGAGAAAATATGTGGCTCTAACATTTGCTAATTAGCTTCGGCTCGCAGTTACAAAGATATTTACTATATGCTTTCAGGTAAATGGTTGAATTCTATGATAGTTGAACAGTTTCAAAGCAATGATCTATCACAGCAGATGCACCTCTGAATTACTCTACTAAACCTTGTTATTCGCCATTTGGATATATACACCAACTTCAACAATGAAGTAATCACAGTTACGGAGCAATCTAGAAATAAGATAGCTGTTACTTCTGCTCAAAGACCCACACTACATCGTTTTGGTCACGAGCACGGCTCGTTTAACCGTTAACGTTAACCGGACTTCGTACTACGATCCCCAATCTCGACTACTCACCCGGATAACTTCATTGCTGTCGGCGAATGTGATGACGAGGTCACTGAGGTGCCCAAGGCTAAATAATTGAGAGAAACGTTGTGTAGTAGTAATCAGGTCACTCTGCCAGTCATCGGTAGCGGTGAAATTCACAGTTACGGGCTTCTCAACTCCGCACGAACAAGATTTCTCCTTAACTTCCTTCCCGAAAGAAAGAGACTTAAAAAATTCCACACGCGGCACCTCAGTGTACTGGTCAGGGTAGACGCCCTCCGCCTCAAAGGCGCTCTCTTCGTCCGTAGAGCTGCGCGTTCTCAGGGCCTGCGCGCGCTCGACAAGTGCTCGAGCCATGCAAAAGTTCTCTGTATTCTCGAAGCTGACAATAGGCCGACTATTTAGGTCATTCCCTAAATATATCGAGCGCTCCATCGTAGTTACTGGCAAATATTAGAGTAGAGTACGCGTCAGCAAAGTGGAAATTCTGCCTGTCAAATCTGGAAGAAGAGCGTTGGAAGGAAAGACAATCGCGAATGCAGTAGTTAAAAGAGCTGCAAATATCCACGCAATACGTTTAGCCATTCTATGTGAAAACATTTCTAACTGGTGACTTTCACAAAGGTTTAAGAATTATCTCTTTTACAAGTCAAGATGCTAACTATAAGCCCGAAGACAATCCAGCCCACGCACCGATGGCGCCCATTTACGAACACATTAACATTCACGAACCGCCTTCTAATCCAACAGCAGCCTTGACCATGCCCGCTCGTGAGGTGCAAGTTTCCAGACGACGACCACTTGCACGTAGGAGTTCAGCTAGAACTAATCCAAGGATAGAAAAAGCTTACCAGGTTCAAGCTCGAACAAATCCGGTTTAATTTTAAGGATATATCAACATAATCAACCCACAACATTCACTGTTTAATGACATCAGTAAGCAAACCTAAACCCTGACTAAATTAAAAATTAACTTTATATCTACACGGCCCCAACTACTTTCACCGTTCAGCAGTACTGCATAAGTCACCAGATTCTCTTCAAGAGGAACGCGACACATCACCAACCACTTGGCACCTAATTTCAGCAACATCATCAACTAAAGGTTAAACTAAGTATTCACGCGTCAAAGTAACATTTCAGAGGCCACGACTGCTTTTGATGGACAAGTGACAACGCTGCAAGTGTTGCCACACGATCAGACTAAAAATTAACTAGAGGAAAATTATATACTGTTTCGTGATTCTTTTTCGCTTTCTTCAGGAATAATAAAACTCGTAAATTAACGCTTGGTTGGTATGCTGAAAAGGCCGTTACGAGGAGCCAAAAAATGAATATTTATCGATAAAGGTCTATAAATTTCTTTGAAACTGATCAAATACCCAAAAGGTTTCAAATGGTAAAGACTAAATATTAAAATGAGAATGCTAAGGACGATCGGTATTGGCGAGTAATTAATATCATGGCAAAATAAATTGTGATTTTCCTCTAACGTGGGTTCTTGAAAAGCGACTTACTGTCATTTTATAATAATTGCAAACGTATCTCGTGAGCCAGGATTTTATTGAATAAACAATGAGGAATTGTGTATGCGACCTGAAGAGCGAATGTAACGTCGTCATGGCAACCTTAACTACATTTGCAGCTGGGATGAGGCTTACTGTGAATGCAGAACTGGCAGTGCAATGTACACTGTACAGTGCCGGTAATATAATTTATAAAGCCAGCACTGTGATGTGTAAAGCCGTACTGTGACGTTCCGAGTCCTTTTCTGGACACTTAGTGCTTCGTGAAGATGAAAAGCCTGCGAAGTGACATTCAGAGCCTGCACTCTGACGTTCGGTGCTCCGTGACATTCAGAGCCTGCACTCTGACGTTCGGTGNCACTTAAAACTCAGAGTCCTCTTGCTCAGGATGCCTCGATGGATTCATTGATTATAGATTGCTTACCCGATGCACGTTGGAAATAAATCTTTAATTATTATTAGAATTATTAGGTCCCTCGTGATGATTAAAGTTTTGATATTGGAAGATCGTGATGTAAGATAGAAATTTAGTTAAGAAACACGAGATATTTATATCAAATATCGAAAAATTACTAAACAGCATTTCAAAGATTTCAGGTAATGTATCCAACTGTAATTATGATTTATTGCTTGAAAATACAAGCTCGGATGCTCGAACAAAATCGAGCATCGAAATGTTAAATGCTCTTCAAAGCCTGCCTTTGCAGCGCCACAAGCTAGTCGCACATTAGAATTTCGCTGAATTTACCCAGCTGTGAAAAAACATCGATGCGTTCATCCAAATGCATTAATTGCGTACAACAAGACTCCAGATTATTAGTTTGATTCTGGACTGTTTGTTTTAGTTTGGTTCTGGATTATTTGGTTCTCAATCTTCATGAATTACGTGCATAACACTTATCTCAATTAACCTTCATTACTTATGTGCTTTAAGACTTGTCACAATCTTCATGACTTGCGTGCTGTAACACCTGTCTCAATCTCTATGGCTTACGAGCAGTAACACGTGCGCTCACACGGGTCTTAGTCCTTCTGTCCTACGTGCAGTGACACAGGTCTCAATCTTCTCGTCCTGTGTGCGATAACAGGGGTCTAAATCTTCCTATCCTACGTGCGATAGCACGGAAATCTATCTTCTTGTCCTACGTGCCGTTATACTCGTCCAAATCTTATCTTACCTGCGGTAACACGAGTCGCAATTTTCTGGCCTGCGTGCGTCAACACGGGTCTCAATCTTGTCCTAGTGCGATGGCACGGATCTCAATCTTCTTTTCCTGGTGCGGTCACACGGATCTCAATCTTGTCCTAGTGCGATGACACGGATATCAATCTTTTTTTCCCAATGCGGTCACACGGATCTCAATCTTCTTTACCTGGTGCGGTAACACGAATCTCTATCTTCTTTTCCTGGTGCGGTAACACGGGTCCCAATCTTCTTTTGCCACGTATGGTAACACGGGTGTCAATCTTTTTGTGCCAGTGCGGTAACACAATGGCTCGGTTTAGTCTTACGCTCATGTTGGTTTCCAATAGTCGATTCAAGGCGCATTCGGACGCTTCACCGAAGCTGCCGCCATTTGTGGAAGCTTTTGATGGACGGACGGCGGTTTCTGCTTCAAACGGTAGTCATCTATCTGCTAACGGGTAAATTGACAGTGCCATATGATAGGAGCGAGCTTGTCCCCCGTCATACCCGTCCCAGTAATTGGCACTCTGCCTGCTCCTCCAGGTCCACGCCACGCTGCGCAAGCACTAAATAGATTAAATTAGGGCTACAATTAAATAATTACTTGCTCCCAATTTAATATTTGTGGTATAGACTGATTCACTTTTGGACAATGAATGAATTAAAAATGTAGTCCTAAGAATTAACAACCAGCGGGCAAGCTTTCTGAAAAATTCAAAAGTTCTTATTTATTGTGTTGGACTAAAGAAGCGATTGGGAATTTCAGTTGGTATGAAGACTAATGTATAATTAACATGATTCAATGTCGCATCCTCAGCATCTTGGCAAAAGAAATACAAATGAATCATTCGCATTTTATTATCGTCGCACAAACGCAAAACGTGATTTGTGCATTGAAATGTTGACGAGGAATTCGATTGTTAAATTCAGGTAAAAGATATCAGATATAAGATATACTTCACTTAGGTTCTCGAACACATTTAAAATTATTTTGTTTATTCGGTCTACACATTCTTCCATTTCATTTGAGATGTTGTTTAAGACACCAAATGTAATTGCTTTTATGGCGTGTAAAACAATTCTATAGCTTCAAGTTTAACGAAAAGTAGGAACATTATAATTGGAGATTTTAATTGTGCAAATTGCAGAAGAGCTTATAGGTGCGAGCCTCTAGGCGCCATGCAGAGAGACTATAGTGAGGCAGCAGCTTGGTGGGCGCTCGGCAGTGCTGTTGGAACTGCCTTTCGGAGCCGTGTGAGTTAATAAATGTTTATCTTAGGTTCTTGTTGATCCTCAGAATAACTGCAATCAAAAATATAATTATAGTCGAATAGAAGGTTATAATGAGTCAATGTGAAAAGGAAGGAAGACCAATGCGAAAATAAATAATTAAAAATAAATGAGTAAATACAATAAATGTGCCTCTATAATACGTTAGCTCCGAACAAATTGCATCTTCACCACTCATTAGAGAATCAAACTTTCCTATTTTCGATCATAATTTATTTGCTTTACTTGTGCGAACACAAATTCAAGAAGAAAACATGAAAGTGCAGGCACCTCATCTTCTGAAATTATTGAAACGATAACAGCAGCAGTCAAATAATGGCTCGAGGTCTTTCATTTGTAATCCTAACCGAATTAATCAAGTAATACAACACGCCATACCCTCATTATACTTTCTGCAACTAGCATTTCCTGCCATGCACTACCTCTCAAAACGAGATGGCAGGCTTGAAAACACACCTCTTAAATAAATAATACTCTACATTGAAATCTGTATTAGGTTTCTGAAAGGCTGCAGCTGACGTGCATACGATGATACGATCAAATACTATGAAGAATAATAATGGAAGATGAACAAATCTTCGCTGCATATGTCATCGATCTAGGAGACTCTACTTCCATGAGGTATAAAACTCAGCCTGAGGCTGGTGTCAGATGTCATCGCTAGAAATTTTCTATCTTCAGTGAGGCTAATAACCATGGTCACTGTACCGCAAAGAATATATTACTTTCAGAACCACGCCGTATGAACCAGAGTGCAGTGTAGCCACGTTTGAACAGGGCTGCAAATGACGCGTGATTATGCACCGTATGTTTGGCTTTTTAGATAAGATTAATGTGACATTCTTCGCATGCTCATTAGTATCGGTATTCTGAGACGGTATCAGAAATCCCTTCAAGATCCGTTAAGCCATATGGACTTTACTGTAAGAAAAATAAAAAAAAGACTGCAAATATGAGCACCAGCACCTTTCGAGAACGCAATTGTCATCTTTACGCTCCGACCGCAGCAGCTCTTGAACGGCTGATGTTGTAGCCACGTTCTCACAGCCATTCTCGAATATCATTCTCGATGAAATCTACTCGCATATAGTTACTCTAATTAATTGTGGATGTTTCTATTACAGACGTATAATTTTCCAGAGATTCAGCAAGTGATCTATATAAAGAGTACAGAAATAAATTAATAATATATTTAAAGTAAATAAATAATAAATCGCACCTAATATCTGCCATCATTTGATTAAAGAGTTCATATTTATGATTAATTCTACAGCGGAATATATGAGTTACACGTTTTCGAGTGCTTTCGCTTAAATATTGAGGACTGGAAAATCTTACTTAAAGGAAAAAAAATCATTCACTCTCAATCTTCTTCAAGACTTCTTCAATCTTCAACAAGAATCTAATTCACTCGAAAAAATGAGAACGACTTTCAACAAACCTCCTCCTACCACCGAGCTCTGCAGTACCAGCTTCCCCGCCACCATATGAGCGTCGGCCGCAGGACGCAACGCTCCAGAGGNTCCAGGCACGGGGCATCACTTGAGTCTAAG